ATACAATGAAATATACATATGGATAAATAATACATAGTGAGCCCCATAACTATTTACAAGTGATGCAAAATCACATCAAGACATGAACATGCATCCCAAAATATTGACTACATGTTCTATGAAGTGAGTCATACTAACAAACTCTGTCGTGTGGCTCTGACTCCAAAATCAAGGCTCAACTCCAAAAGATGCCTAGATTCTCAACTGCTGCCTGATAAGGAAAAACGTGAAAAAATATATGAGTTGATAGCTCAGTGAGTAGAGAAAATTCAAAATAAATGTACCTTTTCCATTTATACATTTTTATTGAAAATCAAATTCATATCATTTCATAATTCACAAGCTACCATCATGTAATTAAAGCCAAAAAGTGAAATATTCACATAAGGTCATAAAAATATCATCTTAAAATCATGATATAATATCAGCTGATAACCATGATATAATCTCATCACATCAAACGTACTGAAAATCCACAAAAAATATACCCTCTGATTGAAATATGTAATCCGCCTCTCGGCTAAAAACTTTCTCCACGGGCCTTTGGCCCCCTCGGTGAACGAAAGTCGATCTTAAAGATTTCTTATAATCAATTCTAGAATAAGGTCAAGACCCCTCTGTGAACTATATGTACACGATCAAGACCAATGTCAGGTCAAGACCCTCCGTGTAGGATAGAACACAATCAAGACCCCTCTGTGAACTAGAAGAAGTATATAATCATTGGTACTTTTCTGGCCGATCTCAATATTGCATGTCTCATATACCAAACAAATCTCAATATCACATGTCTTATATATCAAGTCACAAATATGCCATAAATAATCTTTGATATTCCATATGTATCATAATAAAAGAGATTTTCAAAATAACCATGTAATTCGAACACATAATTGTATATAATTGCGCATACTTTAACAATATGCTTAATTTATAAATATTTTTAAAATATTTATATTTTTCCACTCACAGAACTATGTATGCCAAAATCAATTCGATTGGTACGCTGTCCCGATATTCGTATCGCCGCCTGAAATATAATATAATTTTTAAATCAATAATTGACTATTTGAAGAAATTCCATTAATTAAATATGCGATACCCAAACTTAATTATTTCACGTTTAAGCGATTTCTAACGTCTCTTTAATTACTAAAATTAAATTTTCTTTCATTTTACTCAATTTCATAGTTTATTATACTTAACCCCTTCAATAAAATTAAATTTAACCTAACAATCTAACAACTATAAAATCAAACATAACTTAACAATAAGTAACTTTTTACTTACCTTTCAAAATTGAGAAATTCAAGTCTAATAGGATACAACACTTAATTCCTAACACATTGATGAATTTTCCCCCTTTTTTCTTCTTTTTCTTCCTCTTTTTCTTTATTTTTTTCCTCTTTTTTTCCTTTCTCTTTTTCTCTCTTCTCTTTCTCTTACTCTACACAGTTTTTTTTTTTTTTTTTGTTTTTTTTTTTTTTTTTTTGGTTTTGTATTGTGTGTGTTGGTGTTATAAATTTTGTTTTGGGTGGAATTGGATTGATATCAATCCAATTCCACCGCCTCACATACTATATTTTATTATTTTATTTTAGTTTGACTTTTTTTTTAAAAAACTTAATGTATTACAAAATTCACCCTCTTAAAAGAATTTCGTCCTCGAAATTCAATTAATCATGTATGAAAAAAATCGTGAATACTGAGAACGCATCTGCTCTTCACTTTCCCATGTCGCTTCTTCTACATCATGATTTCTCCACAAAATTTTAACCAAAGGAATAGTCTTACTACGCAAGACTGTTCCTTCCTGTCCAATATCTGAACTGGTTCTTCTACATAGGTAAGATTTTCCTTCAGCTCTACTGGTTGTGATTCCAAAATATAAGATGGATCTGAAATATACTTACGAAGCATAGAAACATGGAATACATCATGAATTCTAGACAATTCTGTTGGCAAAGCCAATCGATACGCAACTGGACCGATGTGTTCAACAATCTCATATGGGCCAATAAACCTCGGACTCAATTTACCTCGTTTACCAAATCTGATAACACCTTTTCATGGAGACAATTGTAGGAAAACTCTATCTCCAACATCAAATTCAAGGTTTTTTTTACGTCTATTTGCATAGTTCTTCTGTCTATCTTGAGTTGTCTTTAACTTTTCTTTAGTTATCTTTCCTTTCTCAGCAGTAATCTGGATATATTCAGGACCCAATAACTTTCTTTTACCAACTTCATCCCAACATACTGGAGTTCTACTTTTCTTACCATACAGTGCTTCAAAAGGAGCCATTTCTATACTCGAATGATAATTGTTATTATAAGCAAACTCCATCAAAGAAAGATGAGTATCCCAATTCCCTTTGAACTGTAGTACACAAGCTCGTAACATGTCTTCCAGAGTCTGAATATTTCTTTTTGACTGACCATCTGTTTGTGGATGAAAAGCTTTACTGAAATGAAGTTTCGTACCCATAGCTTTCTGTAAACTGGGCCAAAATTTAGAAGTGAAACGAGAATATCTATCTGAAATAATAGATACTGGTGCCCCATATAAACTGATTATGTCGTCAACATATATTTTTGCCAATTTATCTAATGAGTAAGTGACTTTAATAGGCAAAAATCTAGCAGTCTTCGTCAATCTGTCTACAATGATCTATATGCCATCATGTCCACTCTGAGTCCTTGGAAGTCCAAATAGAAAATTCATAGTAATGTGTTCCCATTTCCACTCAGGAATAGGCAACGTTTGTAACAATCCTGCTGTTTTCTGACAATTTGGTTTCACTTGCTGGCAAATGAGACATCGGGATACAAACTCAGCTATTTCTCTCTTCATTCCATGCCACCAATAGTGTTCTTTGAGTACACGATACATTTTTGTACTACATGGATGCATCACGTAAGCTGAACTATGTGCTTCTTCTAAAATTTCTCCCTTCAATTTCGAATCATCTGGAACACATAATCTGTTTCCATAACTAAAGCTCCGTCATCTCGAATGGTATAATCTGTATGCTTACCTTTACTAACTTCTTCTTTCAATTTGTTCAACATTGGATCTTGAGTTTGAGTTTCTTTAACTGTATCAATCAAAGTAGGCCTCACTTGGAAATTGGCAAACAATGCTCCTACACTGGTAACTGATAATTGAGCATGAGAAACTCTGAACTCACCAAATAAAGATGAACATACTGCATTAGTCTGGTTCATAGGACTCAATATTCTCCGACTGAGAGCATTGGCAACTACATTAGCCTTCCTTGGATGATAATCAATCTTGCAGTCGTAATCTTTTATCAACTCTAACCATCTTCTTTGCCTCAAGTTTAACTCTTTTTGATCGAAGATATACTTTAAGCTTTTATGATCTGTATATATCTGGCATCTCTCACCATACAAGTAATGTCTCCAAATTTTCAAGGCTAGGACAACTGCAGCTAGCTCTAAGCCATGTGTAGGATAATTCAATTCATGTTTCTTCAACTGCCTGGAAGCATATGCTATAACTTTCCCATTCTGCATCAAAACACAACCAAGACTCTGACGTGAAGCATCACTATATCACAAACTCTTCACCAGGAGATGGAAGGGTAAGAACTGGAGCTGACACTAATCTATTCTTCAATTCGAGGAAACTTCTCTTACAATTTTCATTCCAAACAAATTTAGCATTCTTTCTAGTCAAACTGGTCAAAGGAAGAGCAAATTTGGAAAATCCCTCTACAAAACGACGGTAATAACCTGCTAAGCCGAGAAAACTCCGGATTTCTGTCACATTAGTAGGCCTTTCCCATTTTACCACTACCTCTGTTTTCTGCGGGTCAACATAAATTCCTTCTGCTGATATGACATGTCCCAAAAACACAACTTTATCAAGCCAGAATTCACATTTACTGAATTTAGCATACAACTGCTCATCGCATAGAGTCTGCAAGATGATTTTGAGATGCTCTATGTGCTCATCATGATCTCGAGAGTATACTAATATATCATCAATGAATACAATCACAAATCTGTCTAGATATGGGCGAAACACTCTATTCATCATATCCATAAATGCTGCTGGTGCGTTGGTCAACCCAAATGGCATCACAAGAAATTCAAAATGACCATACCTGTCTTGAAAGCAGTTTTTGGCACATCACTGCCCCTGATTTTAAGTTGATGATATCCAAAACGCAAATCAATCTTTGAAAATACTGCAGCACCTCGAAGTTGATCGAACAGATCATCAATACCTGGCAAAGGATATTTATTGCGAATTGTTACCTTATTTAATTGTATGTAATCTATGCACAGTCACATGGTGCCATCTTTCTTTTTCACAAACAAAACTGGTGCTCCCCACGGAGATATACTAGGTCTGATGAAACCCTTGTCTACCAACTCTTGTAACTGAACATTTAGCTCTTTCAATTCTGCTGGTGCCATTCTATAGGGTGCCCCTGAAATAGTTGCAGTTCCTAGAACCAGATCTATACTGAACTCCATATCTCTGTCTGATGGTAAGCCTGATAATTCTTCTAGAAATACATCAGGAAAGTCCTTGACCACTGGGATATCTTCAAGTTTTAGTTTGCTAACATCTGTATCAATTACATGAGCCAAATATGCATGGTAGCCCTTGTTGAGTAATCTTCCAGCGTCAATAGTAGATATCACACAAGACGGTAAAATTCTACGCTGTCCATTGACTATAATTTCAGGCTGTCCTGGCTGTCTAAACACAACCTCCTTTTGAAAGTAATCAACTGAAGCTTGATTTGTTGCCATAAAGTCCATACCCAAGATAACATCTGATGACTCCTCTGCCGCCTGCTGAGTCATAGCAAAAACTTTTCCCTAGGTCTTCGGTCATCCTACTTGCCCTTTTGATTTTGTACCACTACCGCTTGCGATATTAGACTGGGCCATACTATTTATACCTGCTCTGTTAGCTGAATCATCTCTCTAAGTCTGATTCTGTCTTGTACTACCAGCACTCTACTGAAGAAACATCCTCTGTGCCATGCTACCCTCCTGGAATGCAACTGGGCAATTCTTTTTCAGATGTCCTTCTTGACCACAGCGATAGCAAACACCAACTCCCTTGAACTTTAAACACTCTCCAGGATGAGATCTTCCACATAATTGGCAAGAAGAAAATCTGGCACTAGTAGAACTTTCTCCCTGTCTCGGAGTAAATGATCTCTGGAAAGAACCTTGAGTATAATTACGACTGGCCAATGGCTGCTGTATAGTACTGGGACTGAATCTAGGACCCTGACTTCCTTGGAGTCGAGATTTGAATTGACCTAAACTGGACACACCAAGTCGAAATCCTCTACTATCCCTCCGTGGTGGTCTATAGCTAGAAGCACTTGCCATTGTCTGACTACCGCTTGCTCTGAACATTGTTTGTTCTCTACCACTTGGCCTATCAGAAATGCTCTTTTCTACTCTCAAAGCTGATTCCACTAATTTGCCAAATTCATTCCAGCCGGCAGCTGTTACTACTGACCTGATTTCTTCCCTTAACCCATTTTCAAACCGTCTGCATTTATCAATTACGTTGTTTACCAGAACTTGGGCATACTTTGAAAGTTCAATAAATTTCACTTGATATTCTGCAATAGTCATCTGGCCTTGTATTAGTTTCAGAAATTCTTCCTGCTTTGCATCTTTATAAGACTGAGGGTAATAGGCATCGTAAAAGATACGACGAAAATCTGTCCAAGTACTGATGGAAGGGTCTAGATATGCGCTCTGTACCGACTGCCACCAATCATACGCACCCTCCTCTAATAAAAAGGTGGCAAGACACAACTTCTGATCGTTTGAGCAACCCATAACGTCAAATACCCTCTCTATCTTTGTCATCCATGCCTGTGCAACTATAGGATCTGTTGTGCCAGTGAACCCTTTAGCCCCTAACTTTGTAGCCCTTTCAATACTAAAATCTCTGTCAGTATTACACATAGTAGATGCAATAGCAATAGCAATTCTTTCAACAGCAATAGGATCAGTTCCAATCATATTTCCCTATCCCTGTTGTTTAGGAAGCTGGTGAACTGATTCATCTACTCTCTCGGGCTCTCTCAGTTCATCTCTATCAGGAGTAATGTGAGACGGGGGCAACATTTCTGGAGCCTTCGAGTTTTGCCACCACGAGGCATGACTCACCTATAGTTATGCATGATATGCTAAACATCAGAATGTATGCATGTACAATGCAAACCCATGAACTCTAATGCGTGCTTTGATACCAAACTGACACACCCTACCTCGTGTAACACCACTAGATCCGGACGTGGCATGAGCCGATGATAGATACCAACTAAAAGTCGGACCCACCATCAAGGCTACTACAAATACAATATATCACTTTTTATACATCATTTTTCTAACAAAATTTTAGCATTATCTCCCCTGTAAACAGGACTAACCAACCTGTGATCAATTTCACACAAATCCCAAACTATAGCACAGCACAATAAAGATAAGCCGAAATCTCCACTTTTACCAAGAAATATGCCCCATAACTATCTACAAGTGATGCAAAATCACATCTAGATATGAACATGCATCCCAAAACATTGACTACATGTTCTATGAAGTGAGTCATACTAACAACTTTGTCGTGTGGCTCTTGACTCCAAAATCAAGGCTCAACTCCAAAAGATGCCCAGATTCTCAACTGCTGCCTGATAAAGAAAAACGTGGAAAAATATATGAGTTGATAGCTTAGTGAGTGGAGAACATTCAAAATAAATGTACCTTTTCCATTTATACATTTTTATTGGAAATCAAATTCATATCATTTGATAATTCACAAGCTACCATTATGTAATTATAGCCACATAAGGTCATAAAGATATCATCTTAAAATCATGATATAACATCAGCTGATAACCATGCTATAATCTCATCACATCAAACGTATTGAAAAATCCACCAAAAATGTACCCTCTGATTGAAATATGTAATCCACCTCTCGGCTAAAAACTTTCATCACGGGCACTTTGACCTCCTCGGTGAACGAAAGTTGTTCTCAAAAACATCTCATAATCAATTCTAGAACACGGTCAAGGCCCCTCTGTGAACTATATGTACACGACCAAGACTAATGTCAGGTCAAGACCCTCCGTGTAGGATAGAACATGGCCAAGACCTCTCTGTGAACTAGAAGAAGTATATAATCATTGGTACTTTTCTGGCCGATCTCAATATTGTATGTCTCATATACCAAACAAAGCTCAATATCACAAGTCTTACTTATCAAGTCACAAATATGCCATAAATAATCTTTGATATTTCACATGTATCATAATAAAAGAGATTTCCATAATAACCATGTAATTCGAACACATAATTGTATATAATTGCGCATACTTTAACAATATGCTTAATTTATAAATATTTTAAAAATATTTATATTTTTTCACTCACATAACTATATACGCCAAAATCAATTCGATTGGTACGCTGTCCCGATATTCGTATCGCCGCTTGAAATATAATATAATTTTTAAATCAATAATTGACTATTTTAAGAAATTCCATTAATTAAATATGCGATACCCAAACTTAATTATTTCACGTTTAGGCGATTTCTGATGTCTCTTTAATTACTAAAATTAATTTTTCTTTCATTTTACTCAATTTCATAGTTTATTATACTTAACCCCTTCAATAAAATTAAATTTAACCTAACAATCTAACGACTATAAAATCAAACATAGCTTAACAATAAGTAACTTTTTACTTACCTTTCAAAATTGAGAAATTCAAGTCTAATAAGATAGAGCACTTAATTCCTAACACATTGATAAATTTTCCCCCCTTTTTTCTTCTTTTTCTTCCTCTTTTTCTTTTTTTCCTCTCTTTTTTTTTCCTTTCTCTTTTTCTCTCTTCTCTTTCTCTTTCTCTTTCTCTGCACCGTTTTTTTTTTGGGTTTTGTGTTGTGTGTGTTGGTATTATAAATTTTGTTTTGGGTAGAATTGGATTGATATCAATCCAATTCCACCGCCTCACATACTATATTTTATTATTTTATTTTAGTTTGACTTTTTTTTTTAAACTTAATGTATTACAATAGAGAACACCACAATGAATTGATCATCAAAATGAACAATTCACTGAGGTAATGCAACCAAATTTGATCAACATATAAGTAGCACATCTCAACAAACAAGCCAAATACATTGACAATGAATTGATAATCAAAATGAACAGTCACCAAGTAAATGCAACAAAACTAAATCCACTACCAATCCAACACATCTCAACAAACCAGCCAAATACATTGGAAGACAAAAACCACAATGAGTTGGTCATCCTCAATCACTAAATAAATGCAACCAAATTAAATCCACCCGTAACACTACACAACTCAAAAACATAAGAGAAAATCAAATTGGACAGCAATCCAAATATGAAAAGGTAATTCATGTACTGACTCAAAACAATGAAAAACAGAGAACACGGCAAATCAATCATCAAAATGAAAAATCACTTGGTAAATGTAACCAAATAATATCCACAGGCAACAAAAGACACAAGAAAATTATCATTCCCTCACGAGCGAAATCTATATAAAAAGAAATCGAAGGAATAAATTAACAAATCAAAATTAAATCAAAGAAAATAAAAAATAAAAAAAATCACAAATTCTAATGCATAATTCAAATACTGGCATAATAAAAATGAAAACATACATCTATATCTAAAAACCGAAGCAAGATAAAAATAAGAATTTGTTGAAAAATAAAAACTCTACTCAAACTGAAACAAATTAAACAATTCTGCTTGCTATTCATTTAATGCTATTCGACGGACAGAGTCAATATTTTTTTTGATCGGTAAGTATGTTAGTCAATATTATTATCAAGAAAGGGGGAGAAAGAAGAAATGCAAAAGAAAAAAAGATAAGTAGGCCTGAAAATCAATAATGAAATTATATTTGACAGATTTGTAACTCCTAACAGTACAAAAATAACATATTATATAATCCGAATAGATTAAACGAAGTGACCTTACTCAATGGAGTTGAAAGAGATCGAGCACCGCAGACAATTTTGGCATTGTTTTCTTCCCTGCACCATAAATATACCTGGGCCAACGGTAAAGCAATATAAAGTCGGCACTAAGCGGTGGAGAACTTTGGCTTTTCAGACACCATTGAATAAAATTCCTCCACCAGTGGAGTATTCTGAACTCAACGGAGGAGAAGGGGCGCGAAGAATTTGAATTTGGAAATAGGGCGGTGATCTCTTTATTTGACCGTTAGGGGTCTATATGGTATGTAAAGGAAAGTATAAAGGTCAAAGGGGAAAAAATAAATAATAAAAAAAATACACAACTTGTTAGTTATATAAAGATTGTATGAGGAAAGCAGGGGCGGAGCCCCATTAGGTCCAGTGCAGGCAGATGCCCGCACTGAACTTTTGGGCTCCACTAGGCCTAAATTTTTTTTTTTTTTTGGAAAGCCTAGTTAACAACCCAGATGAAAGCCCAAGTAACCACAGCCCATAATCCGTTTACATTTATTGACCCAAACCCATCATTCAATTAACCCGTTTGAAATCAAAATCAAGCCAAACCCTTAATCACGTCTCTCTCTCCATCTCTCAACAGACTCGACTCTCGCCTACTTCTCTCGGACTCGAAGCTCCGCCCGTCTTCGCCCCTACACCGGTGGCCGACATCTCCTAGATTAGGGGCTTTAATCTCCTTCCTTCAGTTCCCTATAAGTGTATCAACTGAACTGCCGTCTAGATTTGGATGCAACTGAACTACCATCTACCAGTGCTATCGCCTCCCGCCAGGCGCTACCGCACGGTCCGCACCAGCTGCTGCCTCTAAAGAAGGTAATTAATTTAGATGTTCTTCCAAATTCCAACTGAACTGCTGTCTGTCGGTGCGAGTCTGCTAGATACAAAGATTGATTTTATGGCTGCTGCTGCCTAATTTTCATTTTATCGATTTTGCCTGCTGTTGGGATTGGGGAAATAATTTTGCTTGTCTAATTAATATTTTGTTTTCTTTCCTTGTTGCAGATGTATCTTCTATTTGTTGCAAATTCTCATTTAGTCATTCTCACACCGTCACACAAGGAAAACTTGGTATGTGAATTGATATTGTGAAATTGGATTGATAGTGTGAAATTGTGAATTGTGAATTAAATTGTGAAATAGTATAAATTGCATTGTGAATTTGCAATTTGGAAGGTGAATTGATATTGTGAAATTGGATTGATAGTGTGAAATTGTGAATTGTGAATTAAATTGTGAAATAGTATAAATTGCATTGTGAATTTGCAATTTGGAAGGTGAATTGATATTGTGAAATTGGATTGATAGTGTGAAATTGTGAATTAGATTGTGAAATTGCGAATTGATATTGTGAAATTGGATTGATAATATGAAATTGTGAATTTGATTGTGAAATGTGAATTGCACTGCGAATTGAGATTGTGAAATTGTGAATTTATGATTCTTTTGTCATTATGAATTATTCTCACTCACTCTCAGTAATAATTGGATATCAAATATTTAAATCCAGATATCAAATGAATAGATACTTTCAACGAAAAAGGAACGTAGATAATATTGATGAGGGGGTATCGAATGATGTGGAATTTGATGTCACAAAACTTCCAACTAATCCTGGTCTAAGGATACCCATTTTGGATTACAATGCTAACATCCGAGATGAAGTTCGAAGAGTATATATGTTAAAGAGCCCTTGTCAGCCCAAGATCATGACTTTCCAAAACGACAATTTGGAGTAACAATTAGACGACTCAATCCTTCGTGGTTTAAAGAGTTCAGTAGTTGGTTGGAGTACAATGTAAAGAAGGATGCTGCTTATTGTTTATATTGTTATCTTTTCAGAACAAGTTCTGGAAAGCAAGGTGGCGGTGAGTCTTTTGTTGGCGAAGGTTTTACATATTGGAGAGATAAAAAAGACTTCATACTCATGTTGAACTTCATGATAGTGCACATAATGAAGCTCGCATTAAGTGTGAAGTGTTG